CACACACACACACACACACACAAACACACACCACACACATACTCACAAACAAACACTAACATACACCTGACTGTCGACCCGTGCCAGACATTTTCTAATCTCACCCCTGCGACCAGCAGACTCGTATTCCCATCAAACAACACAAACACAGATTTTCCACAGGCACCTAAGGGCCCCGGCTGTACCTCGTAGCTCAGGAGTCAAATGACCAGGCTGAAATAACAGAATTATCTCCCGTACTAATGGTCTAATAACCGCCGGAAGCGGAGCTTAATGACGTAGACAACAAAACTATGAGCTGTTCTCCAGTGGCCTTCTATTACGTCATCGTTTTGTGCCCACCCTTTATACTTCTATACGTGCATTAACGTCACGGGCTTATGCTAGGAACAAAAATGCACTAGTCTATGGTGAATGTAGCTATAAACCTTATCAGGTGAATTTATTGGTTGAAGGACAGCATCATTCCTTTTGGGACATGGGGTTTTCAAACTTCAATAACTGTGTATTATTATGAAACGTCTTAGGTTGTCAAAAGTGTAGTTAAACAGTGAAATAAACTTTTCATGCAGTCTGTAATTGCATGCATAAGTGTTACCGGTAACTCTTTCAGGACAAAGGGAAAGTATAATAATGTCTTCAGCAGCAGACCAAAGACAATGCTGCAGCAAGATTTCAAACTCTCAGAAACAAATGTTGTTGCCTGATAGAGGAAACAGGATTGGAAAATGTGTATTCGTAACGAAGTTGTATTTCTTTTTTAAAGTGTCCCAAACCAGTGAGTTGTAGAATGATCAGAATACGTTTCCTCAATGAGTCAAAGAAAATGCATTGTCTTTTTATGGTGTAGATGTGGAGCTAAAACTCCTTCAATAAATACATTGGTATGTACTCGTATAGAAGAAAGCTATCAAAGTATTTATTATCATTTATGCATAACACGTTAAGAAAATTGGGTAACAATATATTTAGAAATAGAGACATTCAGGCTGAGGGTAATATATAAGATCACCTCTCAATAACAGCCATACTTTCAATTATACGCGATGTCCTCGATACAATCAATCTAGATAATTACTCTCCATACTTTCCCCGGAGCAAATCTATGATTGTTTCAGTCGACGCCACAGCACCATTTGAGTGTGCGCTGGTGAAGTGCATTTGTAAATTGTCCCCT